GTCTGTCTGTCTGTGTGTGTGTGGGTGTGGGTGTGGCCTACGCGTGCGGACACTGCAGGGCGATTTGGCATCAACTCCCACACATCCTCAACCGAGAACCTTCTGCTGAGCATGCGGTAAATTCCAACTCCTACAAAGACATTACATGCTCGAAACGAAACCGCTTGAAGGCGGAAGCCCTCCATCCTAAATCTTACTGCCTCGAGCCCTGGCCGGACATTGGAATGGGAGCCGCAAGCCTAGAGCCCTCAGCTAGCCTTCTCTGCCGAAGCAGCGAAGGCGGGCAAGCGCTTCAGCACCTTGGGAAACGCGAAACCGCCGCTGCGAACCATGTACTCAAAAACTCGGACTCTACGCTCAGGCCCGCCGCGGCACCCACACTGGCACAGGCTCCACGCGACATCGGAAATCAGGATTCCACTCCTGCGGCGACATGAAGTTCTGGAGCCTTCTGCGACAGGGGTTCGGGATCTGATAGGGACGTATGATAAGCCCTACCCTTCAACAAGTATTGGGCCCTTGGCAGCCAAAGACAGCAGAGTGTTGGGGTATGCTGCTTCACGGGCTTAGGATTTTAGTTCTGGGACCAGACAGCACGTGAAGTGCAAATCCGTCCAGCCAGCGGAGCACTTCGGCATAAAGAGCTGCTGGGAACCTCATGTGCAACTCGGCTACAGCTGATCCCCGTACACGCTACTGTTCTGCTCCCATCTCCTTGCTCTACGGCCTAGACTCCCTAGACCCTTTCTCTCTCTCTCTCTCTTTGTATATCTTCTTCTTTGGATATGGTCCTTGCAATATTCGGGAAGATGCATGCGATCCAGCTCAAGTGACTTCTTTGGAGTGCAGAGGTTCACAAGTTCTCCAATTTGTTACGAAGTTGGGCTCCAAGGGATATCAGGGTCTTGAGCAGGCCCCTATAAGATGGAGATCAAGCTCAAGCTTGCCAACGCCATCTTGCTCCCGGTTCGGACAAGCAGCCGCCAGCGCGAGGCTCCCGGGGCAGCTGTCGCGCCGCGGTGCTGCGCTAGGGCTGTGCGGAGGGTGTGGGGCACCTCTGCAGGTCGAGAGAGGAAGAGCTTTAAAAATAAGTCTGGCGAGAGCGTTTATACACTCTTTGCAGTATAGTCTGAGTGTACCGGGCCAAAACCTGCGTTTGACGCAATCTTCGTGCCGCTTGCTGACCTCTGCCCGAGCGCGTCGTAACGGGTCGCTCCGGTGCAGCCATCCCATACCAATTGGGGAGTGCACAAGCGGTGTTGTTCATCTAGCATCATGCTTGGCACCGGACGTGCCATCGACTTGCGGGTGGTCAGAATGTTGGCTCAAGCATTTGCATAAGACTGTTCGCCTTCCGACCACGAAATCCAATTCAGCTCACCGAACCTCCGGCGCTAGTGGAAGAAACGCCCTGTGCATGCCTACCAACTGACATCTGAATGACACTTCTTGCGAGTCGTCTATTCATATTGTTATTCTGTCCTTACTGTTCGGTGTATCCCTCTAGGTCTTAGCAAATACGCTGCTTCGTACACCGCTTTAAAGGTGAAGATGCGGATTCCCGGCCTCTGCATCCTGGTCTTCGGGTCCGACCTCGAAAAGTTCAGGGCCAACTACCTGCGCCCAAATGTCGGATTCAACGCCTACGCGGGTTTGCTTAAACAGGGGCATGGCTTTGTTGGCTTCAGCTTTTCTGTGCTTGCGGCTCCAGGCTCAGTATTGTCTATAAGCCTAAAGGCTCCCTGAATCGCAGCCCACAGTATAGATAGTATAGCTGGTCTGCCTGTGCCTCTGTTCGGAAAGACGAGGACATCAACATTTTGAAGATCTTGTCAAGGTGCTTGACATGGAACGCAGCGACGTTAACCACAGAATTTAGCGCTATCGGTCGAGTCTTGTCACGCGATCACACCCACCGCAGCGCTTTTGTTGTCGTCTGGCGTGATAACTTGAGGTTTGAGGTGTAATGATCGGCAGCTCAAACGCTTCACGAGCACCCTGGCATCTTCTGTCCACCATCCCCACCACACACACGGTCTTCGAATGTTGACGATGCTGTGGCATGGGTGGTATGGGTTGGCGAAATAGTAATATCATTAGAACCTGTTATGCTTCGGGGACATGATATCAATGTTGCAAACTGGGCTCATGGTACTCTCTTTCCAAGGCCACTTCGCTGCATGAGCAGAGCCTGCCAACATCGCCGAACCAAGCTGCCCACGAAACAGCTTATCCGAGCACTTTCGAAAGCTGGAGCTCCACGTACTCTTGCTGTTGGGGAGGTATGCATGCATGTATATATGTATGCATGTATGTGCATGCAAGTATGCCTGTGTACAATATTCTGCATTGCTATGTCAAGTTATGTAGTAGTTAGTAGCTGCACATGTGTGCATGCATGTGTGTATGATAATTGTACCAGTATCAGCGTATGGCGGCAGACACAGATTTGTACACGTAGAAGACACGCACGTTTGTGCATACACCCCGCACACATAAAAACAGCTATTCAATGTAGTACTCGTTCGTGAGCAGATGCACCCGTACGCAATCCGATTCGGATACGGAAGCTGCTCAAGCTGCCTCTAGCGCCATGAGGAAGTCAAAGCGCAAGCCGCGACCTTCTCCAGTGTCCTCCGTCACCTCAAGCAGGGAGCTTCTCCGAACTCCAAAGCTTGAACATGTCCGGCCTGCTCGCTCTCTGCGGGCAGTGCCGCCGCGCGAGGTGTCTTCACCACGAGGCCGTCCAGGGATCGTTGGCCACGTCTGGGAAGCAAATTCGAAGCTTGACATGCTTCACTCACCACTGAGCTTGTAAGACACACGTTGGGCAGATTTATTTGCCGTCGTGGTTTGCTGGTTTTTGGGCCTTCAGGGTTTCTACGGTTCTTTTGGCCCGTGGCGTTCGCTGGCTGCATTTTCGTCGGTCTTTGGACTGGATCTTGTGTTCGCTGCTTAGGAGCTTGGCCTGTTCAAGACAGGGTGGGCATGTATGGACATGTACTTACAGTAGGTATCTACTCAAGGCCAACGAAATACAGTCTAATTGACTGAAGAAAGCTTGAGGAGACTCCGAAGCCTCCGAACCTGGATGCACCGATTTGGGTTGCTCCCGCTTTTGAACAGAACCTGACCTCTAAAGATTTGCCTATTCCTGCAGCCAGCACCTTAGTCTCAGCCCATCCAAAGGTGATGCTGGCAAAGAACTGTCATGAAACATACCTACAACTCTACGGCGCTATCCGGAAGTGCATATTTTGGATTTGTACAGGATTTCGCCTATAGCTGAGACCTAGAGCAAGCAGAGGGACGCCTGAAGAGATCAACCCGGGAACTGCCTTCCCTGCTTCAAGAAGTCCAGGAAAGCCCGCAGGTATCCTTGCTGGAAATAGAATCTATACCGTGCCTATACCACCCAAACCTAACACAGCCAAGAGCATACTTCTTGCTGTATCCGAACTTCGGAGAGAAGCTGTTGGGAATTTGAGGTCCAGGGCTTGGGATTACAGGTTTCAGTTTCAGGTGTGTACCTGGACGTTTGCAGAATTCGCTGGTCTGGGCCGCAGGCTTCAGAGCTGCACGAGGTTTCGGAGTTGCATTCTGGAAACGGCCAAGAAGGTGCGCAGCACGAGACGTTGCACATCGATGCACAATAATTCTACGTCGGGCCGTGTAGCCACATTTACAAAGCCACCAAAAGAACTTCGCAGACACAAGAATGCTATACAACACCTTATGATCCGCTCCTGGAGGTGTCTTCTGCCTTTTTGCCCAGGCGACGAACGAAGTCTCCTGGCCTGCCGACCGGATCGAACCAAGCTCGCTAATATTTCAAAAATACAGAAAATACACCAGGTAACGCTCCATTTTCTCAAGTCGTAAGGCTCGCTGAAAACAAAAACTCAACCACCCGCGGTATGAGTTAATGCAATGAGCTTTGGGTTTCAGGCCGGCGGTCTTCAGCTCCTTCTTCTTTGGGTCCCAGACTCGAAATGCAGGTGTTTGGGGTTTTAGTATCTTACCTTCATGCAGGAATCCTCCTAAACGTGAAGTGGACCCTTGAGGTGAATGCATCTCGTACTTTAACATTGATTAAGCTGTCTCCTTTCAGGTTGCCGTGGATGTATCTGCACTTCTTGAGGAAGCTCCGGGAACGGGTGGCCTGCCACATCGGAGAACCATCTGCCCTTGAACTTGCCGGCGGTGAACACGCCGTCCATGAACGCTCCGAGGCTTCAGACACACACTCGACGACCCAGTCATGCCTCGATGTAAGTTCACGATCGAAACCCAAAACTAAACCTGAAACACCGTACCGTAAATCCGAAGCCAAAGTGCGAACTTTGGATAGCAATTGCACAAAGTTCGCGCCCATGACCTTTCTGATCCTGACTGATGTTGATGACAAAAGCCTAGCTGGCTGCGGCGGAGAACAACCTGGTTCCCGTACCACGGTTAGCGGAAAGGCACAGGACGAACGGTCCAGTACGACTCGACATTTAGTTTTGTTCTCAACACAGATCTTCAAAGGGCGTGGAAGTAGCCGAAAGGATTCAGTTAGGGGCTCGCTTACCGGAGCTCTGGGCTCCAAGGTTCAGTGTCCCTTGCGCAGACAATTTCGTACTCACGAACCCAGGCGCGATTCACGTCTGGGCAGCTATGGGACCAGCTAGGGGTGTTGGAGTCGGCGTCTGGTTGGAGGCTTGTTCTTTCGGGGTTGTGTGTCGTGGCTGAAGCAGTGATATCTTTGCAACCCTCTCCTCGCCAACGAACTAGCAAAACTAGACCTCTAGTGGGGACTGGGGTCTAGGGTCCTAAATCCGTAAAAGGATGGCTTCACGACAGGTGCGGGGAGGGATCCGGGCTGCCGCTTCACAGAATTCGCCTTCAAGGCCTGGATTTCGGGGTTTTACTAGCAGTTCCGCCCTGACCGTTCAGCAACCAACTCTGATCCTGTAGAGCAGTCCAACCAGGTGAAGCGCGAACCCGGCCCCGAACGCCAAATTCCAAGCTGCCAGAAACTGCATCCACGCGCCCAGCTCCATCCTTTCTGCGCATCAGTCGCTTGGAGACTCGTGCGCTCCAGCCTTAGCGATGCACCGTCCATGAATGGTTTGGTGCGAACTGCTCGGTAGATCAGATCCTTCTGGACAACTCTCTGTTGTTCCTGTGTAGCCCTGTAGGTACGATACTCGCAAACTCTACCAAAGCTAAGGCTGATGCTTGACAGCTCGAGGCTCCCTCCTGCGGGCCCAGCCGTGACACCCAGTTCACCTAGAGAAAGCCTGCACTGGTCTTCTGTAGGATGCCATACACGCGACATAACAGCAGTGTAAACTTTGCAAAGGCTTTTGGGGACGAGGAAGAATGGCCTGATGCGCTCCACCTGGAGGACTGTATATGCCTAGGGGGGAAAGGCACAGGGGCCTCATGTGATTCGACGGCTGCCGTGCACAAAGGCAATCCGCTTCTGGCAGCACGGCCGTTCACAGTGGAACACGCAACACAAGGCGCAGTCGGCTTTTTGGCTCAAGGCTTGACTGCAGAGTCGGTGTCTGTCGGGCCAGGGTTCAAAGTGCCTCAAGTCATTTGAGACCTCACCGCAAAATAAGAGGAGCTTTCAAGCCTTCTCGCTGCTTTTTGCTCGGATATCCTGGCCCTGAAAGGGCTGGTACGACACGAGGGCCGGTCCTGGGCTTCGAGAGCCTCGCCAGTGCTCGGAGCTTCGAACTGCGCCTGGCACCGGGCTTTGAATGCCACTCAGGTCTCGAAAAAAGATCCTGGACAAGACAACCCTCGCTGATGTTCGCTCTCAAGAAGATGGAACCTGGAATCCTCAACAAACTCTCCACTTTGAAACAAAGCTTCGGCAACAGAAAGTGACTTGCTGAAGATTGTTCAACAAGCGAGTTACAGCCAGTAACACACAATCTGCAAGCATCCTGAGCCGTCCAACCCCGGCCCCGAGACTGATGCCTTGTGCCGCTCGACGATGCCCGATGGGATGCACACCCAACTCAGTCCCAAACAACCGACTCGAATGATTCTTGGTTGCATCAACTAAGGGGATGCATAGCCCGAGGGCTTTCCGAGACCAGTGCTTCGACCGTTGTCTCATGCAATGGCTCAGGGGGCTGGGGTTTACCAGAGTCGGGACTAGTTGGTGTTGTCGCCTGGCAGGTGTCTGACTGACTTGCGGGTGTTCATGTACCGTTGTGGAGCTCCGAGCTACTTCCCCCCAACAACCCTAACAAATCGCAACTGTCCATGCTCGTCTTCAATGTCCCGCACTTCAGGGGAGTACCTTCTCAGCAGAGCAAAGTACTCTGACAGCTTGCGCACGCGCATGCACGGACGAAAGCAGTGCAATGCGTCCAATGAGTCGGGTCACTCATACAAGATCGAGCCAAGAAGGCTCATGCGGTATGCTGTACGACCGCGCAACATCTCAAGCAGCTGTGATCGGCGTGCCGTTTATCAGAGTAAAGTACACTGTTGCCAATAAGACGAAAAACAGCATTCATCACACTGAAGCAAAAAACACCGACATTCTGGTGCTGTTCGGTATTCAGGGAAGCCTGTTGAGCAAACGCAAGATGCACGAGTGGACCTGCTCTAAACCAGGACTAGGGCCCAGCTGAAGGTCTGCATGATAGCGAACCTGAAACAAGCTCCTGTCCAAGTGTGAAGGATGACCAATGAACTGAACAAAACTCCGAGCAGTGACCACAGAGTATCATAACCGTGGTCCGAACTCCAAGTCTTAGGATACCAGCCTAACATGGCTTCGGCTTTGGGATGCCTTGCTCTATGATGAATGAATCAAGAAGGGGTTCAAGTTTCTGCTTGAGGCTATGGAGAGCCTCGACCCAAACCCTCAAGTGTGGCTGAGGTCTTGTCCGATCATCGCTGCCCTGAAATGGCACCGTGTAGCCTCCAGCACGAGCCCATATTCTAAGCTTCAGCAACCCTCAGCACTTGAATCCCATTCTGCAGCTGGGATTTTTACACAATGCGAAAAGACAAACGTGCATCCCACAGGACTGTAAACTTTAATTTCGGCGCTACCCGCTACCCTGGATCTCGTTGCATAAACTCTTCGCTGAAGCAGACTGTCAACACACGTCTGTACTTTTGCAACAAGTGCCTGTGCCGTCGGCGGATGCAGATGCCTGCATGGTTCCAAGCTGCGGATCCAACGTTTGGGTTGGTGAAGCGACCGAGCAGGAAGTAAAGAACAAAGGGCTAGCATGATCACCCGAAGCCGAAGCGTCAAGATTTGGGAAGGAAGACCCCAGCTCCATCGAGCAGCACTGGCACCTGCCCCGCGTTTGACGCAGCTGAAGAGGTTGGGTCGGAGATGACGTTCTGGGGCAGGAAGCGCTCCTGTTCTGGCATTTCAGCTGGCGAATCTGGATCGCAGCGTTCCGAAGGTCTTAACCCAGGATTTTCTTGGGAAGCTTTGGATTGTGTGTTCTAGAGTTAAGGTCTTATTGTGTTGAGCCTTGGGGTTTTTGAAGGGTGGTTGACTGGCTTCTTGAAGCTTCCAGAAAATGCTTGCTTGAGAGCAGCGCTTTGCTAGGATGCGGAGCAGTGCATGCTGGGCAAAGATCACAGCCTGCAAGACAGCAAGCAATCTCATCCGCAGCTTCGACACGGCAGACAGGGCCGGCAGACAGGGCCAGCATGACTCCACCAACGCCGCATGTGCACATTAAGGTGTGTCTGTGTGTGTTTGTGTGTGTGTGTGTTTGTGTGTCTGTGCGTGTGCGTAAATACGTGTCAGGCATTTCGACCGAGCACGAAAGGGGACAGGGTGCAAAATTCCAGTACTCAATCGTAGCAGCCGAAGTCAACCAAATCAATCACTTTCCCCAGTAACACACAGTCAAGCAGACAATCCTTTGTGCCACCAAGCCAGTCCTTGTCCGGTCTTGAGCCAATGCCATTCGGCATCAGAGCATTCCTTTATGCATCATGTTCATGGGGTGCACACTAGGGATGGTCATATTTAACACAGTCCCTTGACCCTGACTTTTGTCGAGAATCATTCAAGCAGCTACCGGTGCATAGCAGCATTCGTGAAGCGATCAAGAAACATTCGAAACACAATTGCACAAACTGCTTCAGGCTACATTGGACTCAATCGGGACAGCTTTGGCTCGACGCGGATCACATTCCAATCATTGCAAACGGCGGAGGCGTATTGCACTGTACAAGCAATCGCTCGCAGTCGGGTGTCGTTCCTTTCGACATTGAATCCGAGAGCTTCAGTCTCTGCAATCCACAGAAAAGCTCCATTCAATGTCAAAGCCCACTTCACTCAACCACAACATGCGGCATCACTCCAGCACTCTTAAATAAGTACATTCATTCGATGGCTCACTCGGCGGCCTGATTTCATGCCTTTGGCATTCATACGAAGGACGATCTCCGCTGCGGGCTGCACTGCACTCGCAACCCGGGCGATGGCACGGCCGTACGACGATCTTTGGCACAGGATGCTGGGGCATTCCAGGCATTCGGCTCCCCATCATCTTCTTCATCCTCATACAGTTCCTCCCAGGTGCAGCAGTCGTTCTCCAAACCACAGCCGTACATTTGTTCAGTTGCCACTCCACCAGGTTGATGCCAAGGCACCCGCAATATGCCCGCGCTGGCAATCGGCCATTTCTCTCTCCCATAGCCATTTCTCTCAAGGTCGAAATATGATCGGCGGATTGCCGAGTGAAATAACTCGACAGTTTCATTTGCTGGTTCGTGGCCCAGCTTCTCATTGACGCATTCCTGGTGCCGCGACAGACCACGAAGTAGATGGGCTCCTCAGTCTCGCTTGGCTGGTACACATTCTGGGCAAGCATACCCAGTCATACACTCAGACCAGGTTCTCAGTGACATTCTCCTTGGTGGGACATTTCCATGTGATGTGCCAGCGTCCTCATCCCATTGTCGGCGGCATTCAGCTGACAAGTCGCTCCTTGTTGCTTTCCACCACCACTGTCACATAGGCATCCAGTCGCGTCGTAGGTCGCACTGCACTGCGGCGTTCTAATGAGGAACAATCAGGGGCAACGTTTCGGAGGGGAAGCACATTGCTCTCAAATCCGCGGCACAGGTGTCTCAGACAGTCCCTTGCGTTGCAACACTATATATGATCACTTCTCCACAGTCTCTCACACTCTTCAAGAGTCATAAAGATTCCATTCAAATCCCTCCCGAATTCAAAGGGAACCCTTCAAATTCACTTCCAATTCAGTTCAAGTTCGGTGCAAGCTCGTTCGGGCGAATTTCGGCGAATCCTACAATCCCTTCGGAAACAAATGGGGCACACTTCACTACACTAGATCGGAGAAACTCTCATTCTCTCACTCGCTCGTTCTGTTGTTTTGAGATTGCAGGGAAACCAACAGTGCACATGACAGTCATGACATGCAGTCTCACGCTACACTGCACAAGACAGCAATCTGCACTGACATGTCATGTGGCATGCATTCACTCAAGAACATGCGGTCACTGCAATGGAGCGACTCACTCACACAGTGTGGACTTCAGTCCAACGGCGTCCTGGGATGCATTGCACACAGTGCATGCACTTCCAGCGAGAGTGCGCGCGGGGGTGGGAACGGGCGGGGCGCGCAGGAAGCCATTCCCAAGAGGGTGGTGGTCGGGGAGGTGGCTTTTATTGGGCATTAAGGGCGGCAACATGATTGTCACTAAGATCATGATCATCAGCATCGGCATTGCTCTGAACCAAGCAATGTGAACCCTCCCAATTGCGTAGCGCATGAGTGGCCACATATTTTTTCATTGGATCCGCGGGATTCCCAATGCCGTCAATCTTGCACCATTCTCAGCAGACCCATTTGCGCAAGATTCTGCACATACACCGCAACAGGTGTTTCATCTTAGCGACACTTTGCATTGTCGCATAGGCAATGTCAGCTCTGATCAGTGCCAAGCACAACAGTTTGCTAACAACAGTCCTGTACACCGAGTGCTCTTCAGGACTCAGTGGCATGTCAGGCACAGTCTTGACAATCATCACGGTACCAGTCGTCGCAACCAGTTTGGCATTCTTCATGCCACACAGATCAAGAGTCGAACCAATGTATGTTTGCGACATGCACGCATCAATCGAATCTCCGTTGTGTCGCAGTCTCTTTCCAAAAAAGGTGTGCTCAGTCCCGTGCAACACTTCCTCAGACAGTTGGGACATGAGCGACGTATTACTGTACTCATTGCGTTAGTCCCTACAACCAACAGATCATTGACATATGCAAGCTTATACACTTTGCCAGGTTCATGGCATTGCAGATTCGGATCACTCTTACATCTTCTGAATTCCAGTTTCGAAGTCACTACCTCGGCGAAATGTTCCTGCCACAGTTTGGGCGGGTGTCTCGGTCCGTACATGGCCTTCTTTGGTTTTCTAGAGGCATTTGCCTTCCGAATAGAGTTCTTTAGGCGGCCAAGCGATCACTCCGCCGACGTTCTGCATGCGGGAAGGCAATGCTGATATCACCGAGGGTGATCCTCCAGTTTCTTGGCGTTGCCATGCAAAGCAACAATCTCAATGTGACCAGCGAGGGTGGCGAAGCAAACAACCTGGTCCTTTGCCTTTCCTTTTTCCTTTTCCTTTGCCCTTGTACATGCCTTTGCCTTTGCATCCTTTTCCTTTTCCTGTGTGCATTCCTTTACCTTTCGTTCCCTTTCCTTTCCATCTTTTCTTTCCCCCCCAGTGCTCCTATGTCCATGTCGGCTTGACCTTGGTGTTGATCTCGACCACTCGGCACAATTAGATGTCTGCTCTTTACGTAGTTGCACACAATCTCAAGCGCCTCAGTGAACGTGGCTATGCTATGCACATCCAATCGCAAGTGCTGCTGCAACGGACTAACAGTCGTCTTCTCATGTCTGTTCTTCAAGAGTCATGAACTCACTAAATCACTAAAATCACTATCGTGAATATTCCTGAGCTGAAAGCCAATGATCGTTCTCAGGCAATGAAAACTGCTTATGCAATCGTCTCCAAATCTCGAAGTCATTCTCCGTGTCCTCATTTCGCACAATCGCCCTTGCAGCGTCATCAGTGATTTGCACCAGCATGTAAGCCAGTTGTCGTGAGAACAGTGAGACTTGATCTGTTTGAGAACGTGTTTGCTGTATGTCAAACGCTTCACTCAACTCATCAGTGATCACAATGTTGGCTCCTTCCGCATCATTCATCGTTAGTTTGACGCTGCGCTTGTGCAGTCCGACATATCGCTTCAGCTGTTATGACCAATCTTCCCACTTTTCCGACTCCCCGTGATACACGGGAGGTGGAAACTGCTTGATCTCACCACCTAGTCCTCCCACTCCGACGTCCAGTCTCTTTCACTGGTTCTGAGCCGAAGCTCGGCTACCACGCAAAATTCCACTACACAATCGTAGCAGTCTAGAACAGCCTAGATCCATCACTTTCCGCAATTACACACAGTTAACCAACCTTCCTTCGTGCGACCAAGCCAGTCCTTGTCCAGTCTTGAGCCAGTGCCCTTCGTTAGTGCATCATGCTCATCGGGTGCCCTCGGGGATGGCTGTATTCAACACAGAAAGAGAGAGAGAGAGAGAGAGAGAGAGAAAGAGAGAGAGAGAGAGAGAGAAAGAGAGAGAGAGAGAGACAGAGAACAAGCGAGCGAGCGAGACAGAGAGAGAGGCAAGATGGGCTCTGACTGATCTGACTGGATGTTGGCATGACCACCCCGTGAGCTGTGCGCCTGCTGAGAGGCATCCGAGAAAGTCGACCTGCATCCACGAAAGGAATCACTGAACACCGAAGATGGCCAACATGAAATTTTGGAGGAAGCATGCAAGACTGTGTGGGTTCATGAGTCCTGCACTTCGATTGCCACAAAGGCTGGCGTCATCTTGCTAAGGCAACACAGAAGGACGATCGTGGTGGCCCAACCCTGGTCTAGACTGTGAAGACCTCGCTTTCCGGACATGCGCGTGTCAAGACTGCTCGCAGCAACCGCTGACCCTCCGCGTGCCACAACTGGGAATGACAGCTGCGTGCTAATAGTTTGCAGCATTTGGTCCTACACGGTCTAACCGCCGAGCAAGGGGAACCTGGCGAAACAGCTAGGAATCTAAGCCTTAGCCTTATGAAACACCCGCATGACCGAAGAGCCTGGTGCTGCCTGTAGTGCCAATCCTTGACTTCGTAAGGCACAAGATATGTCTGTACGCCAGCAGCACCGTGCGCACACTGGCGCACACTCTCTTGATTGTTGGCTGCAGGGGCGGGGCTTGGCAGCTTCCGCTCGGTGTTACCGTTCAGGCTGAGATGTGAGCCCGAAAGGCTGCATCTCCAAGACCGAGGTCTGAAAACGAATCCCGGGCACTTAAAAAACGAAACCCGGCAAAGGCTCTTAAGGACCAGGAACGTTGCTGCATCTCTTTGACTACTCGACAGCTGAGAGTCTGCACCGCTGCAACGAGAGGCCTGGCATGGTCCAAGCCATGTAAACGTTCCCAGGTTGGGGTTGGGGGCTTCGGGTCTGAAGCTTTTTTGCTGAGGCATTGATGTGCAAATCTAGGTTGTAGAAGCCATTGAGGTGAGAACCTTCCCATCATCCATCACTTGCTACACCGACAGTGGAACCTCAAGAGTCCGAAGCCCAGATCTCCGGTCTAAGGGCATTGTCCCATCCTCCCACCCTTCTCTCAGCAACCTCATTCTTTCAGGCTCTATGGAGAGCTTGGCGCTCGTGGGTTAGGGGCGTAGGCTAACGTGATCTACATTGTATTCTTTACCAGGATCATTGAACGCCTATGTGCTTTGCGTGAGGTGAAGAAGGGCTCTAGATTTCTGTAGGGTTGCGGGATTAACAGTATCATCGACGAGCGCGAGCATGACGCGACTCTTCTACCGTAGCCGCCGTAGGGCCGTTGGCAACAGGCCGGCGTCGACCACGAAGGGCCAGTGGGGCTCATGACCTGGGCGGAGCGCTGCAAAACACGCGACAGTGCTCGAACCGGAGCCTCAGCCTTGTGAAGAGAGCCTTGTCGCGATGTCAAATCATGCTCGGTCGTGCGGTGTACTTTGAACGCTTCGGGCTTTCGGGATCCGAGTACCCAGGAGGCCTTAGAACGTCTGGGGACTTCTTCTAATCAATGTCTTGGACGAAACTGGTAGAAGGTGTCGGCAAGCTTTCTCTGTGACAAGTAACATGAGTAACATAGGAATCGAACCGATTTCGCGTCTTGTATCCTCGCCTTCCACACTTGAGGCCGCAAGCACAGCCAAGCACCCAAACTGAAAGCTTGCAAAAGAACCTAGCTGCTGTTGCTATTCTCTCTCCATGTAGAAAGCGTTTGCACATGTGCATGGCACCCGAATTATCCCGAGCAAGCCAATCGACAGGGCTCCGACGGCATTCCGCGCCAAGGGCACCCAAAAGCCATGCCTTGACAATTCGCACTGGTTACTCGGGTAGTCGGGTGTGGCATAATGCTGTATGAGATGCCGGCATGTTGGAGCAAGAGACATAGCGACTTGTGAGACATCATGCAGCGTGGATCTCGAACTCTGGCTGCCTGTTTCGGACCGGAAAACTTCTGAAGATACAATATGTAGCAGTGAGTGAGGCTGTGCATGCGTGGTGCAGCAGAGCCGAGGTGAGCATGATTCCCACTCTCGCGCACGTACGCCTTCTCCTCCAATTGCAAGTACACTTCGCTTGCTCTACACCCAAAGTCTCCCAGTAGTCAATCCCTATAGAGCCTAAAATGCCAGGGTGGCGGCTGGATAGGTGTTCCAGAACCCTGTGCAGGCGTAGCCGGAGTTCCAGTGCCTGGAGATACCTGTGTCACAGCTGGGCAGGCCAGTTGGGCGTCCTACGGCGAACTCTACAGACTGTATTTCGGGTAGGTAGAGGTGCTCCGGGCTTGGAGTTGTTCATCTAGACATGCCCCATCCGCTCCAGCGCAGAACCTGTCACTGCTGACTGTCTCTGCTCCCCTCTCTCTAAACGAGTCGTGTCCAGCAACTGGCCTGTCCAGAACCACAGCCCTCGGCGCTGTGAGGCAGCGGAAAGGCGTATTTCACGCGACTGGGAAACACTTGATGGCTTCGAATGCTGTGGGACAACAAGGCTGAGCCGGCCACTGCCGACATTGTAGCCCTGAAGAGAGCGCGCTTATGGGCTTTCGCAGCGGGTGCGAGTCAGGATCAGGAGCACGTCCCTGAATGCACTTAAACTTACAAGAACATCCTGCTGCGCAGACTGGCAGGTGATCTGTCGTGCAAACGGCTGTGACAGAGCACAAGGAAGGACCCCCCCACACACACGCAGAGACACACAATCCGGCTCTGCCTTCAACTCACATCCTGCTGAATGCCGCGAGCAAATCAAATCTGTGCGGCGATTGATTCCGATGCTTAATTAGTTTCCTCGCCCTGGGAGAACCCTCCAGAAAAGAAAGAACATAAGAGCGATGACCAAGAGCCAGGAACCCCGTACGTCCCCGTAGTGCTTCCAACAGCCTTGCCGCCCCGGAGTTCGGCGAGCCACAGTTCGGCGATGCTGCCATGACGGGAACTGGGACCTTAAGGTAATCGGAGTGTCTGCCGTGTTCAGGGTGGAGTGCAAGACATAATTATTGCGCGTGCGTGTGTGTGTCGTGTGCAGGGTTGCCTCCTCTACTTTTTGGGTTGCCGAATGACACCGAAAGCTTCTTTCAAAACAGGTCGACGTCGGTTCATGACCGTTTGGATTTCAGGTCCTGAGCCTGAAGTCTATGAGCTCAGGCTTTAGGGTTGAGTGCAGCGCATCAGGTTGGTAAGAATGGCAAGATCGCACCTCTCCGCCCGTCATCACAAGACCTGCAGAGCTCCTCTCCCTGGACCTTTAGTCGGCGCAACCGTCCTCGTAAAGCCACTGAAGCCGCAACTCCCCAACTATTGAATCACTTTCACGTCGTTACACTTTCAGTACATCTTATTGACATCGGTTTGATGGGCTACCAGGTCGTGTCAGCGCCTGCGACCCGGATTCATTGAAACCCGTGCTTACTGGGCCCCAGCTGCTGCAAATTGACTAAAGCCGAACTACAGCGGATCTCTTTCTTGCGAGCAGCAGGACATCTCTACATCCAACCCAAGCACATAATCTGCAACACCGTAAGGCTGTGCACGACCCTGGAAACCCTCTCAAATGGAGGTACCATCAAGGACCGGGGCCCAGATCGGCACGGAGGACGTGCCTTGCGCCTCAAACAGAAGAGAGAGTAATTTTCTTCAGGTCCTGTTGGGCTTGACATAAAGTTTCGGGGTAGACCGGGCCCTGGTCCGAAGACAAAGCTACTGCTCGATGGAGGCCGCAAGCTCACCTTCCGACCCGTGTCTGGGGCCCAAACTAACCACTGCCAAGTGAAAGCAAAAGTCACCGGAAAGAAGTCAGCAATCGGCTCGATCCCAGTCCGAAGCGTTCAACCGTATAAACTTTGTAAACCGGAAAACTAAACATCCCACAATCCCTCATGTTTCCACAAGCGAACCTCAACCTGATCTCTGCCCCTGGCGAGGACCACACATAGGGTCCTGCGAAGTAGAGCCGCTTCTTGAGCTCAGCATTCTCCACGCGAAGCCTTCGGTTCTCCTGGCGGATGCCGTGCTTCACATTTGCAAGCCTTCGACTGGGTGCTCACCAAGGCGAAATCAAGAGAGAATACGCAAAAGCGTCGAACCCTGAGCAGTGAAGCAATGAGCATTACATATTTCTATAATCTTGTTGCTGTTGTTGTTGCTGTTGCTGTTGCTGTTGCTGCTGGCGGTGGCGGTGGCGGCGGCGGCTCTGGGGGTGCGGCGGTGGTGGTGGTGATGGTGGTGGTGGTGTTGCTGTTGCTGCTGTTGTGGTTGTCGTTGTCGTTGTGGTCGCCGTCGTCGTCGTCGTCGTCTTTGGGGCAGGGTTTTGTGTTCGGTGGCAGGCGCCGTTTGCAGTCTTGCTGCTCACTCACTTGTTATTGTTGACCCGCAGGCACAAGGCTGAAGGATCGCAAAGTAAATGTCGGGCTCAGTGCCGCGGTACGTTTCTTTTCTGCCTGTGCTTGAAGATGATTTACTGCAGTCCGGAGAACTGAGAAACCCTCCAAGCAAGCGTCCAATCAAGTTACTACAAAGCATGCGCTCAAGCCTCTGTCCTGCTTCAAGAACTCAGACCCGAACTGCAGTCTCTTCTTGAGCTCCTCGGCTCAAGGCCACGGGTTGAAGGCCAGAGCGTTTGGGGTGCAGCTCGGCAATATGCTCCTTTCTCTGCCCTCGGACCTTCAGACACCTGCTGTCCCCCCTCTGAGTCCACAGCGGCATTCTCGATTCGAAGTCGCCGGCTCTCCTACACTTTGGTGTATCAAGGCCGAAGAAGGATTTTTCCATGTCTGTCAGAAATGTTACTTGCAATGTTCGCTTTGGAGGTTCTGCTTTGGTGGCAGAAACGCTCCAGATGTAAGACCACAGATCGAGCCCCATTCATGACAAAACCAGGAGCAGCTTGTGGGAGCATGTCGTAACTGCCACAACTAGTAATCGTGGAAGCTGATAATCTACGCCGCTCATCTTGTCAATTGTCTCTTGCAGGGTGCGACCCTACACCACCTTAAACCACCCTAAACCCAAGACGGAAAGCACAGCATCCGTAATTTCTCTAAGCTACCAGCAGACTGATGGTGACTCGGACGGGTATCAAAAGCAACCCCAGTTGCCCCTGTGCTGCTCTCAGGTTCCATCTTCAGTCGAACTGGAAGGGCTCAACTTCGGATTAATGGATAAGCCCTGCGAGCGTATCGAGTTGGCCAGACCTTCTCCAGAAGCTCCTGCCGCTTTGGATCAGGCCTCTGGTAGGATCAGGCAAGATGGCCAAAAGGACCGACGAACAACAACCTGCTGAATGACAAAGCAGTGATGGACGCCATGAAGCTGCTTGCAGCTGGAGTATCGGTTTTGCGAGCTAGGCGAACCAGGCCCCTTTCCAACAGAGTCTTCCAACGCCAGTATAGGCAGTGCAAGGATCGATCTGACACTCGCAGGATTGTTGGGGTCCGGCACTTCATCGCTTCCCGGGCTCTCCTGCATCCCGGCGTATTCGATGCAGCAAATCAAAGGGCCTTTTGGGGCCTCGACTTGGCCTCGAGATCTACGGTGCAAACTGCGGGGCTTGCGCTTCAAAGCGATGGGCCAAGGATCTAGGCACGTGATTCAAGGCTTCGTCTTCTAGGCTCGAGACCTCGGAGGAATTGTAAATTCTGTTGCGTGCAGCAGTGGCTGAGGATTGCATGTTGAGGAAGGCATGATGAGCAGTCAGTATTTCGTGCAGAAGTAGGCTGCGGTCAGTTTTGCCGAGGCACTGAACTTGAAGTACTCAATCCAAGAGTATTAAGTTGCCAGTGTAGTTTGTGGTTCATGGTACGGAGCGAAACGACGGATCAAAGTCGCTCCTCGGAGATGCCAATCCCACCTTAGAGCGGTACTTAAATCGAATTTAAGCACTGCCGCTGACATCTGCACAACTGTCACCGTATTCGGAACGGCTCTCTCGGGCCTCCCCTCATTTGCCCCCTGCTTTCCCGGTTTTCCACCCCAAACGACACTCCACTCATCCCGAGCCACAAATCAGGTTTTCTGGACCCGGGGCATTGGCTCTGAAGCGGTGAGCCTCCTTCTCGGCCTCGTTGGGCCTCCGAGTTGCTGAGTTCTGGTCGGGTCCAGGGGAAGGCCTTGGGAGGTTGAAAGGCTCGGAACTACTGCCCAGGTTTCGATTCCCTGACTCTAAAACGGGATTTGGGAATTTGGGGCGCTGAGCGGCCGGGCGGAGGAGTGCGTTATGCAGTCGCAGCTCTGTTCAGAACCGCTCATCTGAAGACAACACCTCAATGAACCAAGGATCGGAAACTGCCGGAAACCATGAGCCCCAAGAGCCCACACCTTTGGGGGCGTCGACGCGCAGCTCGCCTGAGGCCTTGCGAAACGGCTCAAAGCGCTTTGAACACCTGGGGCCTGGGCCTTGGTTTTGCTAGACAGCTCACGAATTCGTTCTTGCGCAGGTCGCGGTGGTTCTCCGTTCTTTCGCTGGCTGTGTGGATGAGTTGTTACGCTGCAGAGGTGCGAAACACTGCGACACTTCAGGAGCCTGCCTCGCAGCTGCGGGAGTAGCAGGCATCACTGTCGGGGATGCCGGGCAGCACAGGACCATGTCATTGTGCCTAAAGCGTAGGCAGGCTGGGGCCGTGCCCCTGGAAAGCATGACAGAATCTAAACCTCTGTCTTCAGTTGCAGTTCGGCGCAACTGCAAACTACTTGAAACAGCAAATGCTTTCGTATCCAAGCCTCAAAAAACCTGTTAACGCACGATCTTTGACTTCAACCGTTTGTTGGTAGGAACCATTCCCGGCTTTGAAGCTTCTACTTCCGCCAACGATGTTGCTGTTCAGTGACGGACAGATGATGCTCTATTCGGCTGAGTTGTCAAGCAAGTAGACTTTGCTGAAACAAGTCTGAACAGGTGATGCTAGCTTCATCAATCGTGTCCGGTTCTCCAAAATGCCACAGAGCCTTTACAAGCAATCCCCTCAAAGGAACTGATTCCAAGACAAGTACCTTTGACTGGCAACCAGCATCAGCTGGTCCCCGAGAGCTTCGTCGATGGCGGAAGGAGGCAGCGCCTGGAAGCAGACTGCAACAGTGTACTGAAACACGATAGGCTGATGGGGGCTTTCAAGCCTCAGTGACCTCAAGTCAGACAACTGCAGTCTTTGTGAGTGTGTTGAGCAGCTACTTCACAGGCTTGCCCAATTCAGGAAGTCCGGTTGCAGGGGATTGCAGATTCAGGTGCACTCTGCAGCACGAGTTCAGCTTATACCGGCAACACTGCCGCGTGCAGGTGGAGTGACTGGAGTGCTTTCTCTCATCGATGTGAATGTGCTGCTGGGAACAGTTGCTTCTTTCCTTGGGCAGTGAGTAGTGTAATCCAGCAGGAGCCAAAACACAATTATGTAGCAGGTGATCACTGCCGCAGGTGCTGCCTCCCCTTTCCTAAGTTCTAGAGCCACTGCCAAGACCTCCAAGGGAGGTCCAACCCAAAATCTCTCTTGCCTTGTTCAGAACCAGCTCCCGCCGACGAGCTCGCCTTTGCAGTCTAGGTACATGGCCACAAACTCGCGACCATTTTGCCCTGAGAACGCTCAAGAAATGACATGTGCGGCCCGGTGCTGCTGTTCGTTTCTTAGCAGCCGCCACAGTGCAGGGATGCGAGATACTGCATTCGTTGAAGCTGCGAGATCCCTCCGTGATCTTGGAGTGAAGCAGTGAGTGTTTCAGTTGACCACATGCAAACAGTCTAGACAACAAAGTCCACGAGTGTAAAGCCAAAGGGATTGTGCGCCTCTTACACAGCTCATCCGAATCCAAGGTGGCACGCCGGACCCCAGGAGACAAACGCAGCCTATGTAATAGCGGCACGATGACACAACCGGGCTTTTAACCTATCCTGAACTGTCAGACGTGTACGCAGCCACCCAGCAGTACCTTGTTTCCACATCTAACTTGCATTCAATGTTGTTCTGACGAAACTCTTCTACAAGTAGGATTCCTGACCCGCACAGGGACGTCCACAATTACAGAGCCTTGCTTCCAGATTTGTCGGCCGGAGCGGGCCGACAAAAAACTCATGGGCCTGAACCCCTGCGGTTGAGATCAACGATCCGATCACTCGCCAGATTTCTCCATACACTCAGCCCAGGTGGCCGGCCATTTCAGCAGTTCGGCCAGAAAATGCTTCATCCTGGCGACCGTAGGACACTTCACTATGAAGTTGCACTGGCTTTCCATGGTGTAGCGATGCCCTTGACAGGCTCAGAGGCTCGGAGCATGCTGGAAGGCTGCGGGTAGTTCATTGACCCAAGCCGAAGCATGCCACGGCCGCTTCCGCAAGTGAACGAACTGTCCGACCTTGGAGTGTTATGTGTTTGCTGCAGCGACGTACTTTGTGTTCACTAGACCCCTAGTCTGACACCTGAAGTCAAATCGTCAGCCAAGAGCCTCTCTTGATGCACCCCCAGTCAAACCCTGGGCCCAGCGCTTCGTTGAAGAAGCTCAATCCACGGTCCTGCACTCTCTGGGCACGGCCCGGCAAGATATACGAATGAGAGGTGGGCACCCAAAGCTTATTTCGTCAAAAACCAACACACGCAGTGAATCAAGCATAGCGCTCAGGACACCCAGCGCAGGTGGGTTTAGAGTTGGGCCTTGAGGGCCTAGAGCTTGAAGCTGCGGTTGTGCCACCTTTCACTTCGAAATGAAGAGCTTTACGTCGGTCCTCGAATGCAGGATCCCAGTACCGACTCCTGGAATTTCGGAACATGGCGCTCCGGCTTTCGTGGGGACAAAGGGCTGTGCGGTCGAGGGAGAAGCGAAGTTGTTTGGGTCGAAACATCACAGCCAGGCTGCGATGTTTAGTCCGGAACAGCAACGAAGGAAACCACACGCCCTGTGTGCCGCAAGATTCAACGTCAAGGCCGCAGGGATGAGGCGCAGGTTTGAGGGTGGCAAACTGTCCACGATGCAGCAAAAAGGTGCCTACTGAGTGGCCGATGGCCACTTTGTGCGTACCCTGTAGCTGTAAACCCGACCGGGCTAGAGGAAACCCTTCATAAGAAGTCACTAAACGAGCTTTGATTGCTATGTTCCCTCACCCTCAGTGCGCAACAGCCTCTGCAACTACACACAAACAGGCTGCATCCTGACCCGTAAACTCCAATCCTCACACGCCAGGTCCGTTAACCCTAAGCCCAAAATCGCTCCAAAATCAAACGCACTCACACCGACTCGCACAAAGCTGCGGCCTAGTATGACCAGGCACCAAGTCTGAGCTCCCTGCAGCAAGTGCTTCAATTGGCCTAAGAGGACCCCGAGCACCTGCGCTGCTTCGGTTCGAACCTCATGTTGCATACATACCGTGCAGAAGCAAGCAAACGAGTGTTTGCAAAGGTGAGTAAGTGACACATCAAAGAAAAACTACATTCCGCATAAGCAGTGAGTCAATCAAACCGCTGCCCAGTCAGCTAGTCAGTCAGTCAATCAGTCAGTCAGTCAAGCAGAACAACCAAGCAAGCAACCCGCCAACCAACCAACCAACTAGCAAACCTTACAAAATATTCAGCCAGCCAGCAACCAACGAACCAACCCACCAACCAAAGAAACAGGGCACCCACCCACCCAACAGCACAACAACTAACAAGACGACCAACTGCGCCGACCAACCTCCGACCAAACAAACAACAAGTGCGTATGCATCTGCAAACACGTACACACCTCCATACGTGAAATGTGCGAACAATCGTGCACACATGTACATATGCATGTCTGTATATATCTATATCTGTACGTACCTATATGTGTGTAAAATGCTTGTATATATATATATATAT